AAAATGTATTATTTATAACTCTTATATTTAGATCTACCATCTATCTGGATTTGATATCTGAGTGTGATGTGAGAGAAGTATCAGTTAGGAGGTGATTATACTAATCCAGGACCAAGGTGATAGGAGCTTGGACCAGAGTGTTAACAGTGAGTATAGTGAGAAGTGCCCAAATTAGGGTTTATTTTTGAAAGCAGAGCTTGTGTGCTTTGCTGAATAAAGTATGTGAGGTATGAAAGAAACAGGAGGACATGGGTAACACTAAGGTTACTGGTCAGAGCAACTAGAAAAAAAAAGTCATCATTTGCTGAGACAGAGAAGACCACCAAAAAAGCTGGTTTAAAGATAGATATCAGGAGCTCAGTTTGGGGCCTGTAAATTTGGGGTGCTTATTAGACATATGAATGTTGAGAAAGAAGTTTGATGTTAAGCATGGAGTGCAGTGGAAGCATTCAGGTTGGAGATATACGTTTAGTTGTTAGCAGCTTTGTATTGAGTGTAAGCACAGAAGAGTGGAGTAAACAGGAGGACTAAGCATTTGCACTTCCAGGTCAGAGACAGCCTTAATTATCATCCATGGTTTGCAATACGGGTTGTTATTAATGAATCACAGAATGATAGGTAATAGTCATATAATAAATAATTGGTAAAATTAAGTTTATTTAATTCAGTTACGCCGGGAACTTTTATGTATCAGAGGCATCTTTTCCTTTATGCATTTTATGGTAAGTACATTCTTCCTAGTCCTTCATAACGTATTCTCATCACCTAAATTCTGCATAATCTTTTTAATTTTGAAAGAGTTTAAGCCTCACAAGAAATTAAACAAACAGTACAGTGTTCCCATGTCCCCTTTACCCTCTAATTGGTTTTTAAGGTGCTTGGTTCACATTGAAATTACCTTTCTCGTTCTTCATTGTTCAGACATGTAATATTTTAATTTTTCTTTTATGATTGTATATTAATAAGTTTGAAAGAGTCTTAATGAAAAAAAATTATTGTGGCTGTGGAAAATTATGGAACCCAAAGGGAAAGTGGTAACATTTTAAACTCTTAAGAAATTTCATTTTCGTCCCTAAATAATATGTGTTAACAATCCTCAATACATAGCATTTATAATCTATAATACTCATCTCTAATTACTGGCAAGACCAACAAAGAAAGTTCACTAGATTCGATTCGATTCAAAATTTTTTTCTGGATGAAGAATGAATCAAGCACCTCTTTATTTTTCTCCTTAGTCCACTGGCAATCATAAGCTACATACAGCTTTCTTGCTTTCTGGATCTTTTCCTATTTCAAATGCTATCAATTTATATTAATTCTTTGCAATTGATTTTATCCCCACAAAACTTATGGTTTTTCATATCTTTGATTAGTGAGTGTTTTGAAATACAGTTCATTTTATTTCACAGTTGCAACATGTGCTGACAGAATTTTAACTGTAATTTCTTTTTTTATTTTGCAATGCCATTTTTTTATTTATAATGAAAATGTAAACAGGAATCTGTTTAAGCTATAAACATGAGTGTTTTACTACACATTTTGGA